TGTTAAAAGCCTCTCCATAAAGCTCTGCTTTCACCAGTTTCCTGAAAATCTGGAGGGTGGGGGCCTGGTATGTCACAAAGCAGCATCTTGAATCTAGTACGGAAACTAACAGGGAGGTGTTAGTTTGTATGGCATTGCTCCTCGTTGTACAACCAGCACCTCATCAATTAGCCACATCAAGAGCAGCAGATTTGATGCAAGCACCAAAGGGATTTCAGCCAATCATTGCAAAGAACCAACCAGAAAGCAACTCCGTGCCACATAAATGGGGTAGAAATGTATATTCAACACAAGTCTTCTTACTCATACACATAATCACAACCGTATAACAATGTTATGTTCCTGAAGATACAGAAAATGAAGGTAACATAACAGAAAACAAAGCTTTCAGGGAGAGTACAGACCACAAAAGAAACATTACATAAAGGGTCTGATGATTTTAATTAAAAGCGATGTTCTGTTTCCAAAGCCGTTGGAAATAAATTCTCCCCGCCATATTCTCAGTTTGGCATTTTTGCCATTAGACTTTTGATTTACCAGCCCGCCATTTACCGACCTCGGCTTTGTGCCTGCGTCCTTGAGAAAGAGTTTGGAAGAGAACTTTGCTGGAAATTCATCCCCATAGCTATTGTGATAAAGCTCCAATTTCCATAACATAAAATTGTTATATTCTCAACGTGATGTGTACTTGCAACAAGATTTGTGTTCCGGACATGATTCCGTCATGTTTATGTTGCAGGTAGCTTCTTTGCTTCTCTGCAACTGTTGTGTTTAAAATTGATTCTTTTCTCCCCCCCCTTTTTTTGTTCAGATAAGCCATCTTTTTCTCTAAAGTAGAACTATGTTTGTCCTGCAACACTGCACCTCCCAGAAATCTATAGATTTCTAGATTTAGACTAGGCTCTAGGTTACAAATCCTCACTTCATCATCATTATCAGAATTGCAGAGCTGGAAGAGACCCTCCTGATCATCCATGCCACCCCCCCAGTAAGGATTCAAACTCCTAACTTTTGGCTCTGTAGCCAGATAGGGCAAAAATCTGAAGGTGGCCAAGTGTGGGTAGGAGGGTGGAGGAAGCAAGACTGCAGATACTTACAGGATTACCAGGCGGCCCTTTTTCTCCTGATTCTCCCTGAAAAGGAAGAGAGAAAGAATGGAATCTTATCCTAATTGCCCTGCAGAGTAGGAGGAACCATGAATGTCCAGGAAAAAGGGGGAAGATACTCACTTTTGGGCCTTGGATTCCTCTCCCAGGGGGACCGGGCTCCCCCTAGAAAGATGCAAGAGGCAGGTTAGTGGGACTATTACAGCCCTAAAGCCAGCCCATTCAGGAAGACCAGAAATGCAGACGCGTGGATTGGTCTCGATCAACAAATTAAGAGCAGATGTTTTGTAAAGCTAATGGCTCTTGTCTTTCCAAGAGGAAACCATGCTCAGATTTCTCTCCCAGCTGCTCTGAGGATTGCAGCTAAGATTGGAGTGGAAAGGGAGACTAGAGGAGAGTGGCAGGTGATCCCATAGTCCCTGCTGCTTGGAAAACTCTAGGGCATTGATCCTACTGGACCTGGCTTCCAGATACTCCTGCTCATTAATAGCTTGATTCAGGCTTTCCTCTTCCCTTCTCAGGGATTTGATGTGTCCTGCATCTCCAAACTTGCATTTCTGGCCATTGCCAGGACCAACGTCTTAGTCCATTCCCATTCAAACCTGCTCTTCACCATCCCGCTCGCTCTGCATTGGCATTGTTTGCCATGGAACAGAGGAGAGGATGTTGTGCTGTTGTGCAACAACTGCAACAGGAATGTTGTCCCTTCCTCCAGACTGGATGAAAGTTTAAACTGGTCACTGGAGGAAAGCTGCAGTGTGGGAGAGAGTGGTTTCGATGCCAGCAGGTAGCAAAGCCATGTTGGGTCTTACTATTAGGCTTAAAGGAGCTTTCCAAGGTACTGAACCCATTTGGAGCCCAGGATTCAAGCCCATTCAGGAAGACCAGAAATGCAGACACGTGGATGCAGCCCATTTGGAGCCCAGGATTCAGAATCTTAGATAGCTCCTGTCAAGTTCGAACTAAAACCCAGAGCGGATTCACTGGCCCACTACCACTGGAACTTTCACCTCATCTCTCCAAATTGACAAGACAGTGCTGAACCCCACTGATCAACACTGCTCCTTACTTACTTGTAGCCCCTTCAAGCCAGGGGGCCCCTGAATTCCAGGAAGTCCTGGTTTTCCCTGGAAGTAGCAATGAAAAAAGCAAAAGAATTAGAACAAATAATTTAGATTTCACCCCCTGGAGAGGCCAGTTGGAAAAGTCTGATGTCCACTCAATGGCCTCTTGGACAAAATTTAAGGAGTGTTATTTTTTTCCTTCCCTCCATCAGTTGACAACATATTTTTCAGTTTATGCATAGATATGAGTCAGAAAGTCGAAGACCGCCCTGGGGGAGCTTAAAAACCAGTGCTTGCATGGATTTTTAAAAAGCATCTTGAATCAGACTTTAAAAGAAAAAGGGCAAAAGGAAATTTGGAACATAGGTTTTTCAACACGGGCTCTTGTAATGTCACATTTCAGCTACCATCATGAATGATTGAAAGAAATCAGTATTCTGTATCACAGTTATAAAATAGGGTGCCAGGAGAAATGGGAAATATGCAACTTGTATACATATTTGAATAAATATTGCTGGTTTTCATCTTTGATTCTGTTTCTCTTAGTGGTGAGAAGGAATGATGCCCAGCGGAGGGCTATTTAAATTATCATGCCATTCAGCACTGAAAAATGAGCCCAACTTCTGTCTGCATTCCGGGATACGACAGTTATAAAATAGGGTGCCAGGAGAAATGGGAAATATGCAACTTGTATACATATTTGAATAAATATTGCTGGTTTTCATCTTTGATTCTGTTTCTCTTAGTGGTGAGAAGGAATGATGCCCAGCGGAGGGCTATTTAAATTATCATGCCATTCAGCACTGAAAAATGAGCCCAACTTCTGTCTGCATTCCGGGATACGATTTTAGGAATTATCATGCCATTCAGCACTGAAAAATGAACCCAACTTCTGCATTTTAGGATGCATTAGCAGAAGTAGAGTCTCCAAATCCTGTAAGGTCCTAGTTCAAGACTGGTAAGGCCTCATCTTGAGTCCTGGGTCCAGTTCTGGACTCTGCACTTAAAGATGGATGCAGACAAACTTGAGCAAGTTCAGAGGAGGGCAACAAGGAGGAGCAGGGGACGGGAAACAAAGCCCTAGGAGCAGGGGACGGGAAACCAAGCCCTAGGAGGACGAGAGATAGAAAGAACTGGGCATGTTTAGCCTTGAGAATAGAAGACTGAGAGGAGATTGGATAGCCCTTTTCAAACACTTGAAAGGCTGTCATAAAGAGGAAGGGCAGGATCTGTTCTCCATCATCCCAGAACGCAGGACAGGTAACAATGGGCTCAGAGCTATAGGAAACTGAATATTTTGGTTGAAAAGGAGGAAAAACTTCTCAATGGTTAGAGCAATACAACAACAGAAACCAGGATCTCAGGAAGTGGTACATGCTCCAATCCTGGAGGCATTGAAGAGAAAAAAAGACAATCATCTGTCAGATCTGCTTTGATTTACATTCCTACATTGGACTCAATGGCCTTAAATGCCCCTTCCAATTCTGTCGTCCTGCAATTCTATGATTCTATGAGAAATTGTCCGTATATTTCCAATCCTCCTTTCACACCTATAAGTGCAAGGAACACTCTCTCTTTTTCTTATAAAATATACACACAGATTTTCAGGAAGGTGATGCTTAAATGCCAACAACGAATTCTGTATCTGTTCTGCGCTTTCATTAAGTAGGGGAGATATGCACAGAGAGAATAAAGTATGTGTGCTTCTTGATTTGAACAAGTGTGTGTGTGTGTGTGTGTGTGTGTCTGTGTCTGTGTCTGTGTCTGTGTCTGTGTGTATTTTCAGGCTGAAGAGCTGTGTTTGATCACTGTGAGAACAAAACCCTACAATGGTTATTGTCAAGCTACCTCACAAATCAGTAGTTAGATTCACAATCTTAATAAGGGCAGAACATGACGTCCTTTGCCTCTCTGATGAAAACAGTCAAGACAGATTTTCTTTTTCTACTGAAGGAACGGCAAGTTGTTTTATTTTATTACTTTTTTTAAAAAAAAGAAAGATAATTATTTGACATTCTGAGGCTTAAGAGAATTGATCACCTTTATTCAAAGGAGATCCTTTATGGAGGTGTTGCGATATGTAAATCAAATCAGTTAATTAAAAGGAGTAAAAACCAGGCAGTTAACACCGTATCATCAAGTAAAATTGATTGGCAGAAAGTTATTGGCAGATGAAAGCAAGTGCTTCTTTTCAACGATGCATAATGAACTTACAAGGTTGTTACTGCAGACTTCAATGAGGACTCCTGCTATCTTGAATGATTAGACAAACTCACAGAAAAGAAAGCACCCATCAGCATAGAATCATTGAGTAACCACAGAACCGTAGAATAAATGAGTCGGAAGGGACCCTCGAAGGACATTGAGTCCAACCCCTTGCTCAAGGTAGGAACCCAAATCAAAGCAGATATGACAGACGGTGGTCCAATTTTCTCTTGAATACCTCCGGCGCTGGAAGGTTCACCACCTCCCGAGGTCATGGGTTTCATTGTCATACAGATGGTTGGGAAATTCAGCTTTTGATGTCCACTGCACCATGAAAGTCACTGGGTTAGGTTGAGAGAAGAAAACCCTTTCTGGTTTGGGAATTTCATTAGACCAGCTTTCCCTACAAGTTGTAGATTGCCATTTTGAAATGGAAAGTGACTTACAGGTTTGCCGGCTTGTCCCACGCCAGGAGGTCCACGGTCTCCCTTGAGGCCAGGTTTTCCTGGGATGCCGACTGCACCGGAAAGATCTCCAGGGAAGGGAGGGCAGGAATCACATGCCTCACCCTAAAAGCCAAAATTATAGAGATGGTTTAAAACAGTGGTCCCCAACCTTGGGCCTCCAGATGTTCTTGGACTACAACTCCCAGAAGCCTTCACCACCACCTCTGCTGGCCAGGATTTCTGGGAGTTGAAGTCCAAGAACATCTAGAGGCTCAAGGTTGAAGACCACTGGTTTAAAAGACAAAGACAGGTGCTGGCAAAGAGAGAAAACAATATCAGATTCCACAGATACACCCAGACCCTGATGACTTACTGTGCAACAATTTTTTGTTAGCCCAGAGATTATTTTATTTATTTTATTCATTTATTTATTTCATTTATATGCCATCCACTCTACCCAAAGGTCTCTAGGTGGCTTACAGCAATTAAAATACAATTAAAATACAATAAAAAGATAAAACAGTTTAAATACAATTAAAGTAGATACTCTAAAAATTGCCATCAGGACCCAGAGTTGATATTATTTCAATTAAAAGCCTTCTGGAACAGGCAGGTTTTGACCTGGTGCCAAAATGTCATCAAATGTCATTTGATTAAAATCAAAGGCCTTTACAAATAGCCACTGGCTGTACAAACCAGGGTGGGAAATGATCCTGTAAACGAACCTGAAGCCACTGTTTAGAATTAGGGTTGTGGCAATTCTGAGCCATTAAAATATTACTAAAACATGAGCTTCTGAGTTCTGCAGGTTCTCTGTTGGGTTAGAAGAGAGGTGAGAGACTGGACACCAACAGACTTAAGCTGTTTTTTCAGGTTTCCTGTTCTGCATCTTAGAACCTTATTTTCGACTAGGGAATTCCACAGCTTCAGCACCCCGAGTTTGATGCTCGGTGAGGACCTTTCACACAGATGCACAAAGATGAAGACATATACGGACACACACAGAAGAGGAACACACCAGCGACCCAAAACAGTAGACAGTGCGGTTGGCACTGTCCGATTTTAAGAACAAGTGGGAAGGAGATTAAGAAGATGCTACCATCTTGATGTGGCTTTATCACACACACAAAAAAGTAGGTCTCACCTTTTCACCTTTGGGCCCCACTGGACCTCTGACTCCAGGCTCGCCAGCAAGACCAGGCATACCTGCTGTGCCTGGAGTTCCAGGATCACCTGGGTTTCCTGCATCACCCTAGAGAAGACAGAGGGAAAGTTTTGAAGAGAGATGGAGGCTGCTCTTCTCTTTTTGCTGGAATTCCCTTGGACTTCTTTTGGGGAATCACCAGTATGCGTTGCAAGTCTGGGCAAAGGATAGACCGGGATCTCTTAGTTAGATCTCTGAGTCATTTGTGCTGGCTCAGCAAAGGCTTCAGCTCCTAAGCATTTTTGCAAAAGGTGGCATGGATCAGTCCCTCTCTCCCAGCCTAACACTCCTCACATGCTTGTCCAAACTCTGAGGAGTTTGCATAGACTGGGAGAGGAAGAATCCCACATGAGCTTACTGGATGAAAGTCGAGGTCCATGTGGGTTCATTTGTACAGTTGTAACTCAGTGATAGAACCCATGTTTCATGTGCAAAATGATAGCAGGGGCTTCATTATCTTCCTGGTGAACCTTGAATCGTGTGAGATTGGTACAGTATATAGAAGGAGAAGATGGAGAGCAGGAGATGAACATCTGGGTTTTAGCAATCAATGGTTCCCTGTGGAGTCCTCCTCTTTTATATTTCCTTCCACCCAGGGAGAAGCGACTGGAAAGAATATATACAACTTTGGACCAAGAGGGTTTGTGCACTTCCTTCTCGAAAGACGACTAGACAGGTCCACACATGTCCATTTTTGCATCTTCTTAATTTTGACTCTTGAAGGCCAAATCCCAGATGCCCTGCCCTAGCTATGACTCCGAGTGTAGCTGAAAGCAAACATCGCTGTATTCGCGAAGGCTTTCACAGCCGGGATCTAATGGTTGTTGTGGGTTTTTCAGGCTCTTTGTCCATGTTCTGAAGGTTGTTCTTTGTGACGTTTTGCCAGTCTCTGTGCTAGAGCTACTCTTGTCCTCTGAAGATGCCCATGGTCGCAGAGACTGGCAAAACGTCAGGAAGAACAACCTTCAGAACACGGCCAAAGAGCCCGAAAAACCCACCACAACCAAGGACATCGCTCCTGATCTTGTGGAGATGATGGAATTTCAACAGGAACAGCTACTTCTTGCTTAAAATCTTCCCTTCTAGAGGAAGAGGCAAAAGCGCTGTCTTCTATCTGGCCACCACACTCTTGCTTACAACCCTGGAGAGCCACTCTTAATAGGTAAAGTTGCTTTTCATGGCACCCCATAGATAACGTAGCCGCCTGGGTTCTTATAATGGACCGTTGACCACATAGAGGTATTAGGCATTCTGAGTTGAAGATGCTGAGATGGTGTCTAGCCTTGTTGTCTTCCAACCAAACTTTAATTTCACACACACACACCCCGACTGTATTAATTATATTTAATTTTTTGGGGGGGAGAATTCCAACAAAGCATTGAGAATTCAAGGACAACGTTGCCAGGCAACCCCAAGGCTGTCAGGCCTCAGAATGCGGTTGCTAGGGAAAATGGGAGTAGCTCCCTCTAGTGGTGGTTGCTAGGCAGGATTTCCCCCTCCCATCGGTGGTCCTTACGGGAATAATGGTCACTGGGCCTTAGCTGAAGAAGGTAATGGATGCTCACAGCTTTTCTCCTTCTGGGAGAAGACATCTGTCCCATCCGACCTCCCACTAATAAAACCGTCAACTGCTCTGAGATTTTCCACATTTGCATGAGAAAGAAACACTCAGGGCTTTTTTTTTTTTTTTAAAAAAAATTAAGTCAGCAACACATTAGCTAAAAACAAAAACAAAATTTAAAAAAACCCAAAAACTTTATGTGTGCTCCCCTCCCCAAATCTTTATCCAAATGCACCTTTTTACATGCAAAACATGAGGTTTGGGCACAAAATTTTTTATACTTTTGTGCCCAAACCTCATATGTTGCATTAAAAAATGTCCATTTTGGTTGTGCAATTTGTCCCCCACAGGAAAAAACAAACAAACCCCGAAAGGTTTTGTCTTGTGAAAAAGCGAATGGTTTTGTTTTGTGAAATATTTTGTGGAAAATATTCCAAAAAGTGGGAGAAAACACTTGCCAAGCAGCCGGAAGAGCGTTTCAAAATGTTGTTCTCACTCTCAAGAATGAAATAAGCCAAGATTTACATGTGGCAGAGGGTTCTCGTGGCGATGTAAGAGTATAAAACGATGCCATACTCATCGCATTGCGTTCGTCTTCAATGTCGAAAATGGAGAGATGGATCCCATTATCGCAATGGTTCCCAACCTTGGGTCTCCAGATGTTCTTGGACTTCAATTCCCAGAAATCCTGGCCAGCACAGCTAGTGGCAAAGGCTTCTGGGAGTTTTAGTCCAAGAACATCTGGGGACCCAAGGCTGGGAATCCTGCACTATCAGTTACTAGATTTTTAGAAGTCCTCCTTGTCAAGACTAGCAAGATAACTTAATAAAGGTTTCAGGACCTTCCCTTCAATGGTCTGTACTCAAAACTCTTGCCACCATCAAATATGACTCATCTTCTTTTTTTCTCTTTTACTATCTGGGTTACTAAAGAAGTCTGTACTTTAAAACCAAACAATAATGAAGTTATTCCCTAATTATATGAGCACAGCCAAATAGGCTTTATTAAATACATAACTTATTATGGAGTTAATGTACTGGATGGCATTATGTATAGTGTTTTAAAACCTACACTTATAGCCACTACTGAATATGCTGCTGGAGTTTTTAATTAATTGACTGCATTAAAGGAACAGCCCATCTCTCTAACCAACCTTTATCCAATTAGCCTATTGGTCGTTTGTTTTTCCAATTATATAGTATCAAAATAATGAGGATGTCTTTGCTTGCCAGCACAGAAATATTTTAAGGGTGGATTACCAACGCCTGCTGCTGCATTAGTACCGGAGACCTTGAAAGGGTTGAATTTAACAATTAAACCCAGCCTCCGCCCCAACATCACCCCTGATAATGTGTCTCATAGGCGACCGAAGCCCTTTCTTACCTTCTGTCCTTTCATTCCAGATTCTCCAGCTTCCCCCTGGAAACAAAAAGCAAATCAAATGAAATATTACCCTTTGCATTTAAGCTGGCAGACCAGCTTGGCCATCCCCTGCCAAAAAGCACCACCACGGATGGGTTGCATCCGTTTTTCTTTTGGAACTGTCCCCCGTTAGGTGAGGCTGGAAGCCATCGTTCAAAAAGAAATGTTGTGGACGTGTCACTGTTCGGACTACAGCTCCCATAATTCTCCAGCTGGGGCCTTCTGAGAGTTGCAGTTAAAGAGTTAATGGCTGAAATCCATTATGCACTTACTCAAAAGGAGTAAGCCTTAAGAGGCAAACTGCTGTAAGTTGAGAAATCTCTGGCATGCAACAGATTATGCCTATGGAGAATTCTTAATGTCCACCAATTTATTTGCAAAGTGTTACGTCTTTTGCTTAGCTGCAACAGGATTTCAGCCACAGTCATCAAGCCATGATCACACTTACAGGGTAGCCATATAATTCACATTTCCATCAGATAGTCAGAACCTGTCTCCCTGCCCTAAAAAGGTTTTTCTCCTTAACCTATGGGAACCACGTTCTCTCAAGTTCTCATGCTTTGTCATTTGTCCTCTCTGCTTGCACACCACAAAATAACACTCACCGGTTTTCCTGTAAGCCCAATGCCTGGAGCGCCTGGTTCACCTTTTTCTCCTGGAGGGCCCGGCACAGCAATAATGGGTTTCTCACCTTCCAGAAAGGCAGACGAACACTCTGTGCAAGGTTCGCCCTACAAGGGACAGAAACACGAATCGGGACATAAGATAACCCAACAAAGAAGTGCAGAATAAGGCTGGACCCAAATTCTCCTCTGATTTGGCTTCGGGGGGCCCTTTAAGGCTTTGGGAAATATCCCCATTTGATCAAGAGTTATTTGTGCTCTGCCTGATTCTGTGCCCTATACCCAAAATGCTTCGTAAATTTTCAGAGTCAATGCATTGGAGAACTGAAATGTTTCCAATGGAAATCTGGGGGTGGGGCTGTAGCAAAGCATTGTTATTAATGAAATCCGGAGATATACAGATACTAAAGAGGACAGTAAACAGTTAGCTTTGGTAGGTTTTGCTCCAAATTTGCTTTTAATTTTTTAAAAGAGAGGTTAAAGGGATTCATGCCCTGCCTGATAGGATTTAAGCTCTGGATCCAAACCAAATTGTCCGTTGGCTGGGGTTTTGCTCTGGATCCGAACCTGGCTGTTCCGCTTTGATACAAATTGGTCCTAATCAGGCCAATCTGAGTAGAAATTTGGGACGCGTACAAGTCCATTATGCAGCCCCAAGTGAGGGGAGCCACAGGTGCACAAGACGCACGGCTCTTCCGGGGGAACAGACAGTACACACACACACACCTCTTTCTATGCTATGATGCTCACCTTCTCGCCTTTGAGTCCAGAATCACCAGTCTCTCCTTTGTCCCCACGGCCGCCCTAGAATTTTTTGTTTTTTAAAAAAGGAGTGACAACATTGAGCTTTGGTTACAAACACTTCACAATATTAGGAAAGGGGGAAAAATCTGGCCCACAATGTGGTCCCAGGGTGGCTAGAAGCTCTCACTATTAGAGTTGATTTGTCCACACTGAAGTGTACTGAAGAGCATTCCTTCTAGAAACAGAGCATTTTGGCAAGATGCAGGGGAAATCATGAGGACTAGAGACTTATAAAATTGGAACAGGACTCAAAGGAATGGTCTGCCTCACAGACGTGCAGAGAAAAACATTATCTCTCCAGAGACTTTGCTCTCACTTTCGTAACGTCTCCAGCTACTTTTTGGACCATGAAAGCGAGGCCCTCTGTGGTCCCAGAAACTGCCCCATACCCTCTAAACCTCCCGTGAGAAGACCCAACAACCTCTTTATTCTTCCTTTGTACTCACAGGTTTGCCTGTGGGTCCTACAGCTCCAGTGTCTCCCTAGAAGGAAAACAAGAGAAGATCTTATGGGTCACAGAGGAAAGAGAAAGGGCTGCAGTGATGCAGTATTTGTAGACTTTTAGCTTTACATTTTTAGTCCCTAAACGATGAAAGCCACCTTAGGTCCTTTTTAAGGAGAAAGGCAGGGTAAATAATTTTTAAAAACAAACAAACAAACAAATGATTCTGTGTCTGAAGCTAGGAAGACACACAGCTAAACCATTTACACAATCAAGAGTTTAATCAGAAATAAGAACGGTTTTGCTTATTTCAGGATAGGTGAACGTATAATCCTCAGGGCTGCTGATGGGGCAGAATGAGACCCAAAAGGAAGCAGTGGTTTACATGCCAGAGATAATCCAAACGACATACATTCTTCTGCTTGTAATGTGGCTTCGCAGTTACATCTGTTTCACCACTTGAGGGAGCACTCCTTCAACAAACAGATTTCTCTGAACACACATTTCTGACACTGTAGCCTAAAACTGATTTAACGACTGGGACATCTACGCAAAAAATGAGCAGGCCTGTAATTTGGTAACGGGGGGCTGAATCTTTCAAGCACCCCCTTTAAAATGCCAGTTGACAAAATCCTTGGAAGGCACTCGTGCAAGCTCATTTCAAAAGCAGTGTGTGCCTGTGTGCATATAAAGTAACAACGGATCTGGTATGCAAACACACTGCTGGATTCCTTTCATATAGAAAACAACAGATGTTGCTCTAGAATTAGTGTCTTAAAACTGCAGTGCGGAAAACAAGCTGAAGAGGGAGACAGCTAATGTACGGAGAAACTAGAAAAACGAATCTGTGACCAGCCTAGATACATATACAGCAGAAAACACAATGTCTGTTTACTCGGGCAGTTATCCTGTGATAATAACCCCTGATTTCTTTTCAAGGTCTGGTTAGTTTAAACTTGTGGAGGTGAAATGCAGCTTAAGTAAACCCCGAGAACCTGCTATCCGACTCTCATCTTAAAAGCCAGCATTACCTTTTCTCCTTTGAGTCCTGACAATCCTGGGGGACCAGCCTTGCCCTGTGAAAGAACAGAAAATTGAGGGAGCCGACAAAAACATTTCAGGTTAAAAGAATATCATGATGCCACTGTAAGCAAGCTCATCCTGTCTCTATTAAGTCAGCCCAGATGTGTCCTCTTTTTCAAAATTGCTGTATACAGGAGGTACTCAGTGTGGTGTACTGAACAGTGTGACTCAGGAGAACTGAGTTCAAGTCTGTACTCAGACATGGAAACTCCCGGAGCAGGCGACCCTGGTAAAAACCACACCTTAAATGTCTCACCTGCCTTGAAAACCCTATTAAGGTCACTATAAGTCAGAGGGACCTCTTTACACACAGAAAACTAAATAGGTTCAAAAGTCAAATGTCACAACGGCCCACCATTGTTTCCTTCTCCAGGAAATGTAGTTTTATGAAATTGACAACGGCTATTTTCTAAGTTTCCTGATTGTTTCACAGCCCTGTGGGTCCCCAGATGGAAGCCGCAAGTGTGGAACATGTTTGAGACCTAAGGGTGTACATCATTCTGTTCATTGAAACAGCCCGGTGATTATAAGTACAGCGGTGCCTTGCTTAACGATTGCCCCGCATTACGACGAATTCACTTTATGACGATTTTTTGCGATCGCAAAATGATGGTCTAAATGGGGGAATTTTGCTTTGCGATGATCGGTTCCCTGCTTCGGGAACCGATTCTTCACAAAACGATGTATTTTTAACAGCTGATCGGTGTCTTCAAAATGGCCCCCCACTGTTTTCTAGGGACAGATTCCTCGCTATACAGGCAGCGAAAATGGCTGCCGTATGGAGGATCTTCACTGGACGGTGAGTTTTTACCCCATTGGAATGCACTGAATGGGTTTCCATACGTTTCGGTGGGGTTTTATTTTTGCTCTACGATGTTTTCGTTTAATGGCGATTTTCCTGGAATGGATTATCGTCGTTAAGCGAGGCACCGCTGTATTTCCCTTTTGATCATGAGGACTAGAAAATCGTTGTGCTCCTCTCCCTTTTTGCTGCCACCTGGCTGTTCAGTCCTCTGCCCTTCCTCCCACATCCTTACAGGAGAGAAAAGGCACATGGGCTGCCAAACGTACAGGAAGACCAGGTAGGCCAACTCTGGAGGTTCCAGCATCTCCTTCGGGTCCTCCTTGCCCAGAAAACAGTTGTGAATAAGACGTGAGAGCTGCTGGACTGCACGACAGACATGGCTCACCCTGAAGGAGAGAGAAACAGAAAACCTGGCGTTAGTTAAGAATTGGTCAATTCATTTATTCATTTATTCATAATGGCACCAGCCATCATTCAAAGAACGCTTTGGAGCAGTGAGACACAGTAGTTTCTTGCTCCAGATGTTCTGGGCTTCCTGTGTTGCTACCTCTGGATCTCGGGGCAGTGATGTCTAAAACATCTGGTGGGACATAATGGAGAACCGCTAACCTGCAGGCTAACCTAGAGCTGGAGAGAGCGAGCAGTAAAGGGTTGTCCCTAAAGATGAGAGAACAACCCCCCATTTCAGAATTTACACCAGAGATAAAAGAGGACCCGTCAAGATAAAACTGGCGACCTACCTTCTCTCCTTTAATTCCATTGATGCCAGGGTCCCCCTGGAAAATAAAATGGAAGGGGGAGAAGGGAGTAGAGGATCAGCAAGGAAGCACAGTTAAGTGAGACAGAGGACAGTGGAGAGAGAAAGAGCATCTGCAGAAGAAACAGCCACTGTGGCCATGCTCCCATAGACAGCGGTTCTGCTCTAAGCCAGTGATTCCCAACCTTGGGTCCCCAGATGTTCTTGGACTAGAACTCCCAGACATCCTGGTCTGCATGGCTAGGGGTGAAGGTTTCTAGGAGTTTTAGTCCAAGAAAATCTGGGGACCCTAGGCTGGACACCATGGCTCTAGTCAAGTCCACGAAGTGGTTCAAAACTGACTGTGGGACTCTCTCAAAGCCTTATCCACAACTGCATTGAGAGCTTGAAAATGTGAGTCTGGGGTGGACTATGTGTTGAGTTTGGCATTCCATGAAGCTGTTGTAGGGCCGTTTCAGTAGATCCTTAACTCACCAGGTGCCCCACTTCTGCAAACCCATGGTAGCTATGGGTGAAGGTGGAAGAATCCACCGATGGGTGGCTCTGGGTGGCCAGGTGAGATCAACTCTACTTCATGCGCCTCTGGCTGAAGACCCATGGCCCACAGCCTCATTTCAGGAGGACACTTTAGGGTAGATACATGAATTGGTCTTTAAGCCATCTCTTGGCAGGAAAAAATGAAACGGCAGACAATTATTCAGTATCTCCTAGAAAAGGCCCATTGCTTATGGAGACACAAGTAGCAAGAAGCTCAAGCCATTGACTATGTCTATCTCTCTCGATCCATTCCCTGAAGCAACGGTCAACCATATTTTTCCATCTTACGTTCACTTACGGTATACTATTCCCACCAAAAGGGTTGCACTGTCAAACTTCCATATGAGGAATGTATCTGTCTATCTATCAATCTATAGGTCTGACAGCTCTGAGCATGAAACACAGTATTTGTTAACAGGATTTGTCCAGAAGAAACAGAAAACGATTTTACTGGCCAGAAAAAGAACGATCTCGTAGTGTTTCCGAGAAGTGAATCAGGTAGATCTCAGTGACGGAGCAATCGTACTTGCCAATTGAGCCCACATTTACATTTAGAAGGCCAATCTCAAGGCAAAGCAAGCTCATTTGCAAACTACAGGGAGTGTGGAAATCTCCAGCTGGGATTGTCCAATGTTTTCAGAAGTTCGGACATCCTCTCTTCTGAGTTGCTCTCCGTGATGTGTACTTTGTTAATGGCAGAGATTAGGAAGTGGTCTTCTTACTTCTCCATCTTCTGAGCTTCTGGGACAGTTTCTGTTGGTGGTCCTAGCAACTAGGAGACGGGCTCTTCCTGGCTGAAGACTATCTTAAGGAAAATGGAAGTTTGCTTACACCATGAACGAGAACATAAGTTGATCTAATGAGAGATGTCACAACTTGAACCTTGGGAACAAATCACATCCTCTATGACCGGGCTATAGTCCTTGGGTGCAAAATGGCTTCCAGTCTCCTTCGCTGCTGCTCTGCCCTATGGACGCAGAATCTGGGTTTGACACCTACCCTGTTGCCTTTAGATCCTGGAGGGCCAGGCTTGTCCTGAAAGAGAGGGATGAAAGAAAGCCACAGGAAGTGCTTAAATGTCAGAATCTCAACCCAACCACTAGTCCATTAACCAACATTGAGTGAAAACCATTGCATTAGTGTAGCGTGAAGTTCTGCCAGTAGAACCCCATAGTGAGTAATGCCCAGTTACTCCACATGTCTGAGTGCACAAATATTTGCACAACTGCATCTGCACAATAGCTTCCTGGATATGATTTCCCCCTTGGTGCAAATTCTGTCCTGGCTTGTAGAACTGCATGCTACACAAGGGTAGCCACACAAATAGATTAGAGATGTTGCTTTACAAAGATTTTCATTTGACTCAAGCATCTTGATGAGGTTCCTGCAGCTTTGGAGAGAGAAAATAGCTCCAAGATGGTTGGAAGTCCCATTTCTTACACATTTCTCTTGCCCTCCTCTTGTTTCCA